ATATATATATATATATGTGTGTGTGTGTGTGTGTGTGTGTGTGTGTGTGTATACGTGCGTGCGTACGTGTGTGTACATATATATATATGTATATATATAGTTTGACGAAAGTAAAAAAAGACAGTTTTATTGCAAACTATGATTCAGTGTAGTGATAAAGAATAAGACTAAACACATTAAATATTTGATTAAGTTTTACCTGAGGAACTTGTGTACTTTTACCACAGCCTGTTTCACCGACTAAAACCAAAGTCTGGTATTTCTCCAACAAGTAAATAATATGATCTTTGTTTTTGAATATAGGCAATCGTTGACGTTGCATATCGAGCGCGAGCGAATGATGTGCATTGTAAACAAATTGTGTCGATGAATGGGCATCAATGTCAGGTCTATCCTCCTGCCATGTGTTATCTCCTGATTAATAAAGTGAGATATAAATAAACTTGATTAGTAATTGACGTCTCACAATTTTTATTTTACAAATAAAACTTTTATGCACTTTTTGTGTGTTAAATTAAATTATTTGGTTAGATTGAATAGTAGACGACTTATCGAATTGCAAACTATTTTTCGCTCAAAGTGGCAGTTACATAATTGTTATTTATTAGCATATTTCGATAATCCACAATATAAACGTTGAAGGCAACTTGATCTAATAAAATTGCAATATATAAATACACGACTGAATGACATAACCTTACCCGGCTTGGAGAAAAGCAGCCGAAACATCTTTGGAGTTTAAAACAACTTTGATAGAAGAAAATTTATATTTACATATATGTATACTAGTTAAATGGAAAAATACAAGTAATATAAGTAAAGTCAAAATAAATACAATTCTATATCAATACCGTAAAAGGCGTCTAACAGCTGCTAACAGCATCTAATGTATGTATGTATACAACCATGATATATCATGATATAACAACTGTAGCAAGTTTTATGGCAGTACGGTAGATGGCTCTTTTCATAGTCATCTTATATATGTATATATAACGCCTATAGGTTATTTTATGTGTGATCACAGTCTATGTGTTTGACATATTTGATGATAATTTTATCTTAATAGATAGTGCGCTGTTCTGATCTCTCTCGCCACTGCTCCATTACCCCACTGGTCAGTTTCCAGCAGTTTCCAGTCGTTTCCAACTGAGAGATGTTAGAAGCTTACGATGCCAACTACGACAAAGTATGAGTTATGACACAAATAATATTTGAAATATTACATTATATATTTCTCTTAAGGCATTTAAATTGTGATTGTTTTATAGCAATTTATTCCAACGTTTTTACACTATTCAGTATTCACATATGCATGCGTTAATAGATATCATAATTAAGTCTTATAAAATTTTAATTTTAAAATTTATACGCAGTTAATTTAGTGAATATGTAGTCTACTAATAATATTAAATATATTACTTTTATATAGGAACATCCAAGAAATCTTATTCCAGAACTGTGCCGACAGTTTTATCATCTCGGATGGGTGACTGGTACTGGTGGCGGTATCTCCATAAAACACAAGTTAATTGCATAATAATATTATGTACAAAACTATTAAATGGAGACATTCACTATAAAATTTCTATCCTACAGAGACAAGATCTATATAGCTCCTTCTGGTGTACAAAAGGAACGTATGGTACCCAATGATATGTTTGTACAAGATATCAATGGAACAGATTTGGAATTGCCTCCACCAGAGAAAAAACTGAACAAGTCGCAATGCACTCCACTATTTATGTGTGCATATATAAGAAGGCATGCAGGTGCTGTGATTCACACACACTCCAAGTTTACTGTGATGGCGACACTATTGTGGCCTGGGAAAGAAATCAGACTCACCCATCTCGAAATGATAAAAGGTACATTCATTTAAATTGTCTTTTCAAATTCACTTACAGTCAATTTTAAATTAATGACAATATAAAACTATTCGGATTATATAGGCATATGGAATCAGAAAGAGGGTAGAGCATATCGTTACGACGAGGAGCTGATAATACCGATCATAGAAAATACTCCCTTTGAGAGAGATTTAAAAGACAATTTAGATAAAATTATTGTTCGTTACCCTGAGACTTGTGCAGTATTGGTACGCAGGCATGGGATTTATGTATGGGGCGATTCTTGGCAACAGGCAAAAACTATGTAAGCTATTTCAGTATTAGTATCATGCAGTGATGCAACGAAATTTATCAGCTTTTTTGTTAAAATGTATTTCTTGTTCTTTGTACAGGACGGAATGTTACGATTATTTACTTGATATTGCAGTTCAAATGAAACAATGTAGGTTAGATCCATCAATAACTCCAAATATTATGAATTAAAAGCAAATAGTACATTATGATATACACAGAAATTTATTACAAAATTAATATTTCTGTTAATTATAATTTTATTATGGCAACAATATTATGTATCTCTAATTATGTACATTTTTTAATCATTAAATGTATATAAAAATTAAAATAAAATAAAAATAATAGAAACTTGATTTATTGTGATTAAAATTATTAATAATTGACATGTTCCACATATGAGGATATAATATACACTATGTACACTATTGTACATACATATATATATATATTGTACTTGTAAGACAAAAATAATAAATATTTTCTCAAGTATCTATGTCGAATGGCATAAATTGTTTTCTGATTTTCTTTGCTAGTTCAGTCTCTTCCTCTTGGCTCGTATGACAATCTTTCCAGTCGGATCTATCGTTTATGTCCAATATCCTGTCGGACGCTAATACTTCTCTGCCAAATTGCAATGGGAAGTCTTTCTTGATTCTGTAATATAAAATTCTTCCATCCGGTAATTCTACATAAAAATATAGAATACCAGGTTTAGCGACTTGCTGCAAATCTGTATGTGATGGTAACTCCGATATCTTGAAATTGTTACATTCGGCCAGTTCCTAAAAGCATAGAAATTCATAAGCATTTAAATTAAAATAAACAAAAGATATGTTCGACATTCTTTAATATGGAAAAAAATTGAGGATAAGTACTTCGAACATTTCCTTCAATACGGGTGCTTGATTTTTATGAACAGGTACTGCTTGCAATTGACAGTGGGAAGTTTTGAAGTTTCTTTCGAAGAATACAGGTACTCTATTGGTACTCTCGTAATACTTGCTCACGGCTTTCTTATAGAGATCCATCTCCTCTTTTACATTTTTCGGTAGAATAGACAGACTTTGATGATGTGTTATTGGTAGAATTAAAAGATGATCTTCCACTAAACCACCTTTTGCCAGTGCCAAATATATCTCTGTGCCGACAGAGATTACCAAATGCTTGGAGACTACTGGACTGGATAAACAAAACCAGCACTTTGACTGGTCAATTTCCAGCTTTGCTTTCTTATTGAGGCTATAGTTTTGATGTCGCGATCTCTTTGCATTATCTATCGAGTCCATGTCATAGAAAAATTGGATCTGCTTTTGCAAAGTTGGATCGTCAGACAGCATAGATTTGGGATATGGACTTGACGTCTCATCTGTTGTTTTCATAATCAGATCTGATAATCTGGTTCTATCAACAGGAGTTAAATTCAATGCATACAACCATTTCTGCTTCTCGTCATTCAGTACTGGTGCAAGAGCTATGAATCTAGTAGCTATTTCCATATTTCCATCATCCTGACTTTGATTTCTATAATAAGAAAAAAAATATCTTCAAAGTGATTTTGTATTTATTCTGTATTTATTTTCAGAAATTTTCTTGAATAATAAACTTACCGATATGGCGGCCGTTCGTAATAAATCCGTTCTAAGGCCGACACATGATACCTAGGTTTAATATGAGTAACAAGCCAGGCAATTAATTTGGAACCTTGATACTTGCATTCTGGTTTATTAGTGTCAAGATTGGTTACACCTTCTGGCCATGGAGATGTTAACAAGATGTCAACACCACGAAAACTCGGTTGACCCTTCAAGCAACTATTCCTAATGGATACAATGTCGTGTTCGTCGAAGTGAATGATTTTGTTTTTAGACGGAACCTTCTCAGTTCCACTGAGATATGCTATTTTGAGGCCCGAACTGGCGATGTACAGACCACGCTTTCCGAGATAAGTGAGATTCTGACATATTTCGTATCCATCCTCAGGATAGTCCTTAATATCCGATTCCCGATTAGGACCGATAATGTACGTTGGTACTGAAATGATTTTCTCGCAGGATTTGTACGACTCTAATTCAGAATTATCTGCACCGAAGAAATTGCCGACGCATAACAGAAAATCGAATGGTCCGTTTTTCTTGTTAATAGCGTTTACTTTGGAGAACAAAAAGTTGAAGTGTCCTTCCACATCTCCGCAAATGAGAACTTTCTGCTTATCAGTCATCCTGATAATAAAATTCTAAATAGTTTATGTCAAAATATTAAACACAAATCAATGAGCATTGATTTTCTCAGATATTTTCATTAAGATACAATTTCACACACAGCAAAGAAAACAGTATAGGCACAGTATATACAGTAGCGCAATTCTCTGTCGATACCTTTGATGTTAGTGTTGACTAAAATAAAGTGCGCATGCGTGAAATAAATAAATTACCTAGCGTTGCCATGGTTACCACCTAAACTTCTTTCTCTTTTCATCCTTTTTTTATTCTGTCAAAATTCCTCGTAAAACTCACTAGATTTATTCGCATCGCAATCCA